TAAGTGCAGCTGGGCTAATGGCCGAGTGTTGTGATGTGCCGAGTGTGGGCACTAAGGGCACTCCAAGACAGGACTGCTTTGGTGTCCTTCATCGAGGTAGACAAGCAAGCGGGGAACCCTGAGAACTGTCTGTCCGGGGTGGGGGTCGGGTCCCTTTAAGCACAGCACTCGGCTAGCCTGAGGCAGCAGCTCCACATTCTAAGTTCTAACCTGATGCCCTGCTGGCACTGGTTCCAGCCAGCCTTAACTTCAGTTCAGGGTCCACTCAATGTGGACATGCTATTTCGAATTAGCAAAACGCTAATTCGAATTAGTTTTTAGGTCTAGATGCACTAATTCGAATTAGCTTAGTCCAAATTAACTAATTTGAATTAAGTTAGTTCAAATTAGTGCTGTAGTGTAGACATACCCTATCTGTGGTTATTATAGCAATTTGATGAATTGCTAATGCCATCCACAGTTCCTCCATTTGACTCTTCCATGGCAAGGTTATTGCACGCCCATGTTAAAGCAGCATCATGTTGAGGAATCTAGAGTATCTAGTTCACATTTTGAAGGCTAGACACCATGCATAACCCAAGGCATACAGCAACATCTTATAATTTGTGCATAAAATAAATGGCTTGGGGAGCTGTGACCACTGAAAGAACAGATTAGTATATGTATTAGTATATTAGTATTTTCTGGGATTCTGCTACATTAGCTATTTGTTTGGGGGCTCTTTGAATTGCATTCTTGCACACTTCAGTTCTTTCCATTTTCACGATCATGAAGCAAAAGAACCACAGACTCACAGAATACAAGAACTGGAAGGGACCTCGAAAGGTCATCATGTCCTGTCCCCTGCCCTCATGGCAGGACCAAGTACCATCTAGACCGGGGTGAGCAATAATTTTTCATGGAGAATGACTCCAATATTTTGGAAAGTGGTCCCCCATTGGGTGTGGTTGAGGGCAGCACTCTCCCATGATATCAACAAAGGAGGTCTGGGGTCTGGGATGGAGGTTGAATGCAGAATGGAGCTTGGGGTAAGGCACTGGGATGCAGGAGGGCCTGTGAGGTCTGTGAGGGAGTTTGGGTGAAGGAGGCAGTTGTGACCTGGGGCATAGGATTGGGATTTCGGTTGTGATCTAGGGCAGGAAGGGACTGTGATCTGGGGCAGGGTACTGGAGTGCCGGATCTGGGAAGGGGTATGGGCTCAGGAGGGGGGCAGAAGATTTGGGTTATGTGGGGGAGGAGGAATAGCTCAGTGGTTTGAGCATTGGCCTGCTAAACCCAGGGTTGTGAGCTACCTGTGTAACTCCCAGCCAACAGCTCAGTACGTTTCTCAGGTAGCCTCCATGCCTGCCTCGCCCCCACCACAGCTGCAGGGGCCATGTGCGTCTGTGAATAAGAGCCTGAAGGGAGGGGGCAGCTCCCATTGGCCAGAAACGGGTCAATGGGATTTTTCTGGGGGCAGGGGCAGCACCCAAAGCCTCTCCCTGCTTCCCCTGGCTCACAGCTGAGAAACACAAATGGCCCAGCAGCTGCTTTTCTGAGCAACATGAAGAGGCAGGCAGGACAAGCAGGGAGTCTGCCTGAGGCTCCCTGCTGTGACTGAGGGCCAGATCTGGTGGCTTGGTGAGCTGCACCTGTCCTGCGTGCCCTATTTTGCCCAGCACTGATCTAGATCATCCCTGACAGATGTTGGGCACTAGTCAGGAATAAGATTACTCTATCCACTGGACTACAATGGACCATACTGCTTCTGGAGGTGTTGCCTTTCAATGAATGTTGAGACATATTTGCAGAACTTTAGCTGAAAATCTCTCTTTTCTGTACATAAGAAACCAAGTGTGTCACACTTCATTTTGTGTGTTGTGTATGTATGTATGTGATGGAGACACAAAATTGTAAGTGATGTTGCTATAAGCACCACTGACAAGCTTGGAAGAGAGTAAAACAAGAATTAAAGAGAGATAGGGGTAAAAATTATGAGAATTTAAGAAATGAATTCAAGAGTATAAAATACATTTTAGATTCTACTTATTACAATGCATATTCTTTTTTATATTTCATTTAACTTCCCTGTAGACCACAATTAATAAAATCTGATTAGTACTGAATTATGGTATCCTGCTTGAGAACAGAGATAATGTGAATATTAAGAAGATAGCCCTAAAAACCTCAACCATATATAAAGGCCATAACAGAATCAAATTCCTGAAGAGATATAATGATACAAAATAACTTAGATCCATCTGAACAAAGCACTCCACTTGTCTGTGTGGTAGACAGATGTTTTTGCTTCTGAAAGAAAATGCTATACCTTTTAAATCATGTTTTACTTTTTTATTTTTCAGTGTTTTAAAAGCAACAATAATGAAGAAATTTGTGCTTTCAATTTTATGAACGACTGTTTTAAATTAACAACAGTCCATTTGCCAGGACACAGAAGCATTCCAAAGGTAGAGAACTCTAAGTTAGAGTTCTTCCAAGATGTCACAAACAGATATTCCCTGCTAGCAAATGAGCTAGTCAGATGAATTAAAACAAATGGCTAGCCACTCTGCAGCCTCTGACCAGGATACAGAACATGTCTAGTATCTAAGGACATCTAAGGAAAAGGCTATTTTTCAAGTTTCAGACATACAGAGCAATTGGCTAGCTGAAAAGATCAGTGATCCTGAGGACAAAATGAAGACCAAGAACAAAAACCATCTTAACATTTCCAGCAGAATTGTTGTTAACATAGTGATGAATAATGGAACAATACAGAATGTATCTATGACTAATGGATTTCTTAGTATTATGCTTCATTCACAAGAGACTAGAACTAGGATCAAAACAAAAGTCACCAAACTAAAAAAAATATTTAGCAAAAACTGAATTTTAATTTGAGCTTTAAAATACTACAACGGAAGTGAGAAAAACTGATGTTAGCAACAGAGGAGGGATAAGACTGGACCTCTATACATTAGGCATATTTGTCTGACAATGGAAACACACTAACGTTACTACTAGATCAGAGTTAGAAGAATCACAAGTACCCAACCAAAGTTCACTTCTAGGTAAAAAGGCTTTGTTATTAAAATTAATTTTAATAGTAATATTTCACATTTATGGTACTTGGCTATGATGTGTATTTTTTCTTCCAAAGTAGCAGCTCAGTGCCACAAAATACTATCCATTTAATGTGCTGGTTTTATCATCTTCCTTTCCCAAGCATATTTCTGTCTTTACTGCAGCACCATTTCGTTATAAGTATTAATTTTTCAGAGTTTTGCTTGACACTTTAGTGCTCATAATATACTCATACCTGGTTTCCACCCTTTCTGATATTAATAGACTACTGCCAAAGCCCAACCCAGTTATACCTCATTAAATAAATTCCTACCAAAGTCCAAATAATATTTTAAAGGTAAGGTAAAGGTTTACCCCTGTGCTGAAAGGAGGAAATCTTTGAAAATTATCAGATGATAAATAGAAATGACTGATATTTTAAAAACCAACTTTTTGAACATGTATCTGCTGTAGAACAATTTAAATGATTTTACATGGTGAATATGTCTTATTTTGATTAAATTATTTTAAAATTAATGATTTAGTTGATTCCATACATACGCTTTTAAAGCAGAGATAGGGTTTACATACCCATGTGATAGTTAAATAAAAATATGTTTTTTAATCTGCATTGTTAGCAAAATCCTACTGTTGATCCATTCTCAAAAGCCAAGTCTTTCTCAAGCACATAATGATCACAAAAACACTGCAGCTGTACTCACATGCAAAGCAGAGGGATCTGGCAGGAATTCAGCATCCTCTCCAAAGATAAAATCTGGTGGCAGCTCTGGGTAGTGGGCATTGAAAATTATATCCCCTGAAATAAAAATAAGTGAAAAGCACTGTTTATTTGCACTTTATAGCCTCAAAATCCTAAGTACTACAGTGGAAAAATTCAGTAAGTCCATTTTCATTTAAAATAAATCATATATAAAAACACAACTATCAGAAGTACTGAAGAATAAAGTTAATTCTTGACGGCACTGCAACTTCCTGTGCAAATACAGTAATTCCTCATTTAACACATGACCGCTTAACACGTTTTCACGATAGCATGATTTATTTTTTTTAAGGGAACGTTTTTTGAATTACATGACCGTCCCTGGAATAACACGATTTCCTCAGCCAGCCAGTTGCACGGGGCTTCCCCCGCCTCCCTGCAAAGTGGCGGAGGGTTCGCTGCTCCGTTCCCCGGGCCATTCCCCGGCGACCCCCCCATCGCCGGATGCAGTCCGGGTCCCGGCAGACCCGTCACAGGGGCATACTCCCAACCCAATCCCCCTCTCCTCTCTTCCCCTTCCCTTCCCCAGAGCCAAACACCTCCCCTCCCTGCTGTAACCCAGTCCCCTTTTTCCCCCAACCTTATGTCCCAGTCCCAACAGACACCACCGCTTGAAATGCAACCCCCACCTTTTCCATTATTTTCAATGGGAAAATTAACCCTACATAACACATTTTCACATATCTATAGTGTTAAATGAGGAATTATTGTACAGAAAATGTGGAACACATTATTGCTTGATTTCTCACTGTTTATCCCTAAAGGTGACATCTTGAAGCACTGATATAGTTAGAAAAGAAATCATATAAAAATAGTACCTTCTTGAAAACAGTGTATGTGGGATATTAAATAATTAAAAATTAATACCCAACATATCTGATTCATGTATTTTTGAGAGTCATATCTGTTTATTAAGGAAAACCTGTTGATTCATTATTGATTTTATAAGGAAGGCACTTAGGCACTATTGTGAGGGATGGCAGGATAAACCCGAAGATAGACATATAGAAAACTACATTTTCAACAGAGTGAATATTAGGAAAAGAAACAGGAAACAATACCATCTGAAGAATTATCACCAAATTGTTAGCTTCATACCTTTTGCAGAATGCCTACTACTAAAAACAAGAATCAGAACACAAGTTAACTGTTGGACCTATGTTTTAAATCATCTCTGGAGTTGTAAACTAGATACATATGATTCAAATATCAGGGCAATAAAATATCAACTCAGTATTATTTTATATCACTTTCTACATTTAATAACCATATTTCAAAAAGAAAGCTTTTTTTTCTTTTTGTTTACATAGCAAATACACATGTATTATATATGAACAGAAAACTAGAAAATATAACACATTTAAAATTATATATTCCTGAGTTTAGTGACAAGTTTTGTGCATCTTGTTATATGACATGAAGAGCCCCATGGGAGTAGGCTACTTTAACACTGGTTTTGATAAGAAAAAAAATCTTTATATGGTAGAAGTCACTTAATAGACACCGGCCTGTCAAAATTCATTTAAGCAGCCTTCTTGATTAAGGTGAGTTAGTAAACACTGTAGGAACAGAGGGAAGCACCGAGGTTCTGAGCTCCACATAAATCTCTGTGGGTGGACTTACTATCTGTATTGACTAACACACAGACTGTCATGAAATCTGGGCACTGAACAGATTGTGACATAGATTTGGGGTGGTCCTGTTTCCTGTTAGGCAGTGGGGTTTTTTTTCCTAGAAAACAATATTTAGGAGAGTACCTAGCAGATCAACAGGAGTCATCCTAACTAACCACATCCTATCTGAGCGGAACAGAATATAATGGAAATACTAAAGACCGGAGCTATATGATATTTTAATGTGTATTAATGCCATCTGAAATTAATTAAATAAGAATATTAATTAGGTCATAATCTCTGACACTAAATTCTCATCTCACATGTGACAAAATATGCAACAAAACTACTTAGCAAGGTTATCACTGCTTACAGTAGGTTAAAAATTCCAGTTTGTACTATAAACTTAAATGTCAAATACAATTCACAGTTTACCCAGACCAAGATATGACTAAACAACAAATGGTCTGGTAGCACTTTAAAGACTAATAAAACATGTAGATAAAACAAAAGGAAAAACTTTGTAGCACTTTAAAGACTAACAAGATGGTTTAATAGGTGATGAGCTTTCGTGGGCCAGACCCACTTCCTCAGATCATATTCTGGAAGAGAATTGGCATGACCATATATACCAAAGGAATACAATGAAAAAAGTGAACATTATTAAACTGACGAATCAGATTTAGTACAGAAGGCAAAGTGAAGGAGAGGGAGGGAGGGAATAGCTATTTATGAGTCAATGAATGGCTAATCAGGGGTGATAAGTGGGGAAGCTATCTTTGTAATGGCTAAGGTAATTAACATCTTTGTTAAGGCCCATTCGTAAAGTGCCAAATTTAAGCATGAAAGAAAGTTCTGAAATTTCCCTCTGTAATCTGATGTTAAAGTCTCTTTGAAGTAAGATGCATGTAGTTAAGACTATGTCCAGGTAGGTTAAAATGAAAAGCAACTAGTTTTTCCTTGTGAAGATGTTTGATTTGTGGGCATTAATTCTTTGGCAAAGTGTCTGAGAAGTCTGTCCAATATACATAGCAGAAGGACACTGTTTGCACATGATGGCATAAATTATATTTCTGGATGAACAAGAATATGTGTTCTTGATCATATAACTGACATAGTTAGGTCCAGTGATGGTGTCACCAGAGTAAATATATGGACAAAGCTGGCAACGGGGTTTGATGCAAGGGACAGTTCCAGGGCTGGTATTAATGTGGTATGTCCTGTGGTTGTTGGTGAGAATCTTCCTGAGGTTAGGTGGTTGCTTATAGGAGACTAAGGGTACGTCTACACTACAACGTTAATTCGAACTAACTTAGTTCGAATTAGTTAATTCGAACTAAGCTAATTCGAACTAACGGATCTAGACTAAAAAACTAGTTCGAATTAGCGTTTTACTAATTCGAACTAGCACGTCCACACAGAGTGGACCCTGAACCAGGCTTAAGGATGGCCGGAAGCAGTGCCGGCAGGGCATCAGAGGAGGACTTAGAGCGTGGAGATGCTGTCTCAGGCTAGCCGAGGGCTGTGCTTAAAGGGTCCCGACCCCCACCCCAGATAGACAGTTCTCAGGGGTGTCCCGCTTGCAAAGCAGTCCTGGCTTGGAGTGCCCGGAGTGCCCACACTGAGCACATCACAGCACTCGGCCATCAGACCGGCTGCACTTGCCGCAGGCTGCCATCTG